TTGAAAACCTGAGTGCACAGATGTTCAGGCGCTCACGGTGGGAGGCATCTCCTGGCTGGGCTCAGGCTCGCTGGTGGGGCTGCACGGGATTTGTGCCCACAGACGTTCAAGAGCTGAGTTTCCTTTTCAGCCCCATCCCCTCACCTGTGTGCCTGGAGAGAGTGGCAGTCTCAGCAATGGGTTGGGGAGCCTGGATCCTAGGCATATTAGGTGGACAATGTGGCCAAGTCTCATGGTCTCTCCAAGTCTCTGTCTGTAAAATGGAGATGACCCCCGTTCTTACCTCATGAGGCTATTGTGAAGGAAAATGTGGAAAGGGCTTAGTACAGTGACTGGCCCTACGTCATGGTTCAATAAAAGGTCACTCACCTCACACACACACCCACACATACATCTCCACCACAAACTGTGCTCCAGGTGTCTCCTGAAGATAAACAGAGGGGAACACGCTGCTGTTCCCACCTAACAGACGTAGGTGGGAACTTACTGTATAGTGGTTGTTATGTGCCAGGCAATGTCCTAAACTATGACTATTTCACAAGTGAAAAAAGCTGAGCCTCAGAGAAGTGAAGTAACTTGCCTGAAGTCACACAGCTACTAAGTGGCAGAGTTGGACGAATCTACCTTGAACCTAGACTGCTGGGCTCGAAGCCCGGGTTCCCAACATGCGAGGGAAGTGCTGGCTGTGGTGGTAGAAAGCACTACTAGGGGTCAAGAACAGGAGGAGGGCAGTGTTTGTATGAAAAACAACAGGGAAGGTTAGAGTTGGTGTTAAAACATAAGATCATGGAAAGTTTCTTGGAAATTAAGCACATGCCGTTGAACAGTTACTCAAATGGATTTGCCCCCAGGAGCTGCTGGGTGATCAAGCTGCAACTTGCGTAACTGGGAAGCATGAAGGTGGGAGGCTCTAATCCCAGGCAAGCTCGGCACTGCCTCTCCTGTTAGGTGAATGGGCAGATCTGCTTCCCAGGCTTCGGCTGTCTGCATACAGGGGCGTGTCCCTTGCCTCCCGTGGGCTGTAGAGAAGCCTCCTCTGTGTTCAAGATTGTCCTTCAGCAGACAGAGGTGTTAACACTGTCCCTCCCAGCCCTGTCTTCTATAAAAAGCAGGGATCTCATCCCTTCTCATCTCTTCCCTTCCCCATTTAGGACTCTGACGCAGTACAGTTAATCTGTGCATAGGAAAGCAGAGCTGTTTAAAGAGGTTATTCGTTAATGCAAAGAATGTTTCTGTAGTACAAATTATTGCTCTATTTAAAACTGCTTGCAAGTTTTTATTGTTGGTGGGTTCTTCTGTTTTTGCTTTAGAGATGTGGTCTCACTCACTGTTGCCCAGGCTGCTCTCAAAATCCTAGGCTCAAAAGATCATCCTGACGGCCTCCCAAAGTGCTGGGATTATAGGCTTGAGCCACCGCGCCCGGCCTCAAGGCAATGTTTTCTAAGGGAAGGGAAACCAACATTCACTGAACATGTACTACTGCCTACAGCACTATTTTGGGGGCTTTTTATTTCATTTCATCCTATTAAGTAGCTAGAGGTAAATATAACCCCCACTTTGCAGAGAGGAGAAACTGAGAGGTTAGTAACCTGTAAGAAGTGATAAATTTACAAAAGAAAAACAACCCCATTAAAAAGTGGGCAAAGGATATGAACAGACACTTCTGAACTGGTCATTAGAGAACTACAAATCAAAACCACAATGAGATACCATCTCATACCAGTTAGAATGGCGAGCATTAAAAAGTCAGGAAACAACAGATGCTGGAGAGGATGTGGAGAAATAGGAACACTTTTACACTGTTGGTGGGAGTGTAAATTAGTTCAACCATTGTGGAAGACAGTGTGGCAATTCCTCAAGGACCTAGACATAGAAATTCCATTTGACCCAGCAATCCCATTACTTGGCATATACCCAAAGGACTATACATCATTCTGCTATAAAGACTCATACACACATATGTTTGTTGTGGCACTGTTCACAAGAGCAAAGACCTGGGACCAATCCAAATACCATCAATGATAGGCTGGATAAAGAAAATGTGGCACATATACACCATGGAATACTACACAGCCACAAAAAAGGATGAGTTCATGTCCTTTTCAGAAACATGAAGCTGGAAACCATCATTCTCAGCCAACTAACGTAAGAACAGAAAACCAAACACCACATGTTCTCACTCATAAGTGGAAATTGAACAATGAGAACACATGGACACAGGGAAGGGAACATCACATACTGGGGTCTGTCAGGGAATGGGGGCTAGGGGAGGGATAGCATTAGGAAAAATACCTAATGTAGATGATGGTTTGATGGGTGCAGCAAAACATCATAGCACATGTATACCTATGCAACAAACCTGCAGGTTCTGTACATGTATCCCAGAACTTGAAGTATAATAATTTTTAAAAAGTGTTTGAGGACATAGCTATAAGCTGTAATCTTTCCACTAGATCAAGGTGCTTCCCATTAGGGACATAAAAGAACCCTGTGTTGCCATTGGTAGTTTTTACCTCAACATACTCTAAAGCCAGAGACTCCCATATAATAATGGGGACTTATCAGATTCATGTGAGTCCACACACTTGAGCAGCTAGCTAGGTATACTTATTCCAAATAAACAGCTAGTAGTTAGGCATGGCAGAAACTTATTAGTTGTTCAACAAACCATACTCCTTCTTCTTCCTAAGCACTCACCACCTTGAACACATTTCTCACCCCACCTTGTGGAGGTACAGCCATGTGACTGTTCTGGGCAATGGAATGGGAGCTGACTTTATGTACATATCACTTGCAGGCCTGGCCGATAAGCCCTTCCACAAAAAAGCATTCTCTTTCTATACCCACCAGCTGAATGGTGGAAGAAACAGGAATGCCCTCAAGCAGTGGTTCTTATCCTTGGCTGTAGATTGAAATCACATGGGAGCTTTAAATACCCCCATTGGTGAGGCTGCATCCTAGACCAATTAAAACAGATGCTCTGGAAGTGGAACCAGGCATCTGGAGTTAACAAAGCTTCCCAGGTGATTCCAATGTGCTGCCAAGGTTCAAAATCACTGCCTCAGAGAAGTGGTTCTCAAAATGTATCCCCCAACCAGCAAGACCAGCAATGCCTGGGAACTGCTTAGGAAACGCACATCCGCAAGCCCCATCCCAGACCTACTGAGTCAGAAGCTCTGGGGATTTGCATTTTAAGATAACTCTGTTGTATACTGAAGTTTGAGAACCACTGCTCTAGAGGAGGTAAGCCACAAGACAGAAGGAGCCTGCTCCTGAGTTGCTGCTTGGAGAGGGGCCATGGAGGAGAACCACTCTATCAGGAACACCCATACTGGACTGTTGTGTGAGAAACCCACTTTTATTGTGTTAAGCCATTGACTCAGTAGGTACGCATTTATGTGGCTTATGAGAAAACATGGAAGATTGGAAGGTGGGGTCTACGCAGTGGTGTGTGGGAGCTGGGTCACACCAGCTCATTTGTTAAATTTTCAGGAATTTTGCAAACCAGGTGACTTCTCATTGGTAACATTAAATTGGCCAAGGTTGGAATAGTTACACCATGGAAATCAAATGCTACAAACCAGGACTTATTTTCTCAGAGAGCTGGTTGTTAAACATTGACCAGCACACCACTGGGACTACGTATCAGAGAGTAGAAAGGAGGATGATGATACAGTGGCCCTGGGCTGTAATGAACCATCAAAGGAAATGCCATTATGTGAAGCTCCCTAGGCCCAGCCAACACTCAGGCTTCTCTTGACAATACTGTCTTTGCCATGTCCTTGTATTTAGAGATTCTGGAAGCTGAGAGAGAAAGACTGTGGAAGGTGGGTAAATGGTCAGAACTATCCTTCAGACTAAGAACTGATGGGTTTCAAGCAGGTTTTTTAATTGCAGCACTAAGATTTTGATCAGATGAATCTGTTTGGGGGGGGTGTCATTCTGTGCACTGTGCATTTTAGCATGTTTAGCAGCCTCCCTGGGCTCTACCCAGTAGATATATTAGCCACCCTTCTCCCTCCAGTTGTGACAAGGAAAAGTGTCTCCAGATACTGTCAAATGCCCATCTGCTGGAGGGGTAAAACCACCCCCAGTTGAGAACTACTGATTAAGAACTACCTAAAAGGCAAGAGACATCCCCACAGGGGTGGGCTGCGCCTCAGCCTACCATCTCAACCCCGTAACAATATAGGGAAGATGTTTTTGGATTCAACTGCAATCACTTGCTGGCCATCTGCAGCTGTTTCTCTTTTCCAATGTTCCCTGTCTCTGATCACTCTACTTCCTTCTCAACCACACAGCTCCCAGAGGTTGTACCACCACATTAGCTCTTGGTTTGGAAGTGTCTGAGGGTGCTAGAAAAGTATTTCAAATGTGTTAGCTTCTCTCCTCAACACCACTGGCCTCCATCCCTCTTCAAGAGAGTATGGTGCAGAGATTGAGAACACTGGCTCTAACGGCAGCCGGTCTGCCTGGATCCTTGCTCTGCCACACTTTAACGCCGTAACTTTAGACAAGTCTCTTAACCTCTCAGAGCCTCTGTTTCCTTGTTAATCAAATAGGTGAAAATACTATTTCCTACTTCATAGAGTTGTGGAAATAAAGTGAGATAATACTCAACAAACATTGGCTACTGTTTCTCACTAAACAGGTTTTAGAGCGCACCCAGAATGGTGGACCCTGTGCCACATGCTGGGGACACAGAATTGAGCAAAACAAACACAAGGACCCACTCCCTGTTACAGTCTGTTGGGGAAGATAGAGCAATGAGCGGGTCTTATGATGATGTGTGGTAAGTGCCAGAAGAAAATCCCCTGGTACCACAGAAAACCAAAAGAGGAGTCTAACCAAGCCTCAAGTGTTGGGAGGAAGCTCCTGGGGAAATAAAGATGGGCGCTGGGCAGGCCCTGCTCATTGCCTGCCAAATGCACACGCCTTCCCCTTGGTCTTTACCCATCCCATGCTCCACTGGGGTATCACAATTTTTCTGGGCCTTTCACACTTTTTTCCATTTATTTATAAAGATATGGAACGCTTCATGAATTTGCACGGCATCCTGCACAGGAATCATGGTCATCTGTGTGGTTCCAATTGTAGCATATGTATGTCCAAAGCCAGCACTCTTCACTTTTTTGTACCACACTCAGCTCTCCTTCCTTCTCCTAAAAGGTAACCAACCATTTTAATGTTCATCTCCTTATTTCAATGCGTTCTTGCAACATGGGTATTGTGTGTGTGTACTTTTAAATTTTTATCATGAAAATTCTCTAAGGTGCACAAAAGTAGAAATAATATCACAAACCTCCATATAGCCATCACCTAGCTTGAACAATTTTACCAACATTTTGCCAATTGTGTTTTATCTAGTCTCTCCCTTCCATCCCTACTTCTTTCTTTCAGAAGTATTTTAAGACAATCCCAGACATTGTTTCACCCATTATACATCTCAGTATGCATCATCAACAGAAAATGACCTTTCAAAAAAATTCATAACCACTAAATAGATTTTTTCTTTTTTTTTTTTTGCTATGAGTACTCCATTACTTCTAACTGCTGCACGGTACTTTCTCCTGTGCATGCACCACATCTGACCTATTCTTTTTCACAATAATTGACACTCAGGTGGTGCGCAACTCCCTTCCACCACCAAGACTGCGGGAACATCCTCACACAGGTCTTCTCAGGGCTTCTGTAAGAACTTACCCTGGGGCAGAACTGTGGGTCGCATGATATATTCATTTACATAATTTCACCAAGAAGACCAGACTGCCCTCCAGAATGGCTGCACCAGTCCACAGTTTCACCAGCAGCGTGAGGTTCCCACGACCTCACACCCTGCCAGTCACTGGAATTATCCACCTGGCTTTTTTTTCCTTTTTTATTTCACTTTTCTCAGACCTTGCGGTTTTCTATTAATAATTGTTTTCAGTCTAATGCATGTAGTCTCATTTAAATTCACATTTTTGATGACTATCAACGATTTTGAGTATTTTATCATATTTTATAAGACTTTAGGGTTAATTCTTCTATAAACTGCATGTTCATATCTTTTACACATTTCTTCTATGGGACTTCTGTCTTTTTCCTGATTTGTAGGAATTCTTGTGTATTCTAGATTACTAGTTAGTTTTAGATATTGCAAGCATCTTCTCCCATTCTGCCATTTGGTCCTACTTTGATCACTTTTGTATGCACCTTTCTCTCTCCTCTCGAGCTCCAGGGCGATTGATTTCCCGCTCAGTCTCATCTATTCATGGGACTCCTATAGCCCCTTCCCAGTGATGGTAGGAATAGAGCTGTGACCAATTCTCTACTGAGATAGTGAATTCAGCCAGAGGGCTTCCAGAAAAAATTTCTTCACTCTTCAGACACACAAGAAGATCTAGTCTCTGTCTCTCCACCCCGAGGTTCTCTGGGTACGACACGAAGGGTCTGTAACTATTTTACTACCAGTTTGAGGATAAAACCAACCATGAAGGCATGGTACAGTTGGTGGCAGAGTATAGCCACTGTATCAACCACCATAGGGCCTGTACCACCTCTAGTCTTCCCTTTAAGTGAGATAATAAATGGCCTCCTCATCTAAGTTAGATTGAGCCAGGGTTTCTGACACTTGCAGTGAGAAGGATATGGACAGATACAGCCTTTAAGTCAGGGGTTTTTGAATCTTTTTTTTTTTTAATCACAATCACCAGCAAGAATTTTATTTTTTATATCACGATCCAGCATACACATAACTGAAACAACACTTAACTTCATGGTGTCTAATGTACTCAGACAGCCTCTTTTCTATTTCCTTTGTTCTTTTTGTTTTTGTTTTTTTGGGGGGAGTATGGGGGATGGTAATGTTCGATGTAACCTGTTAAATTAATTACAGAAACTACCAATGGGTCATGACCCACAGTTTGAAAAACATTGCTCTAGCTCAGGCCTCTGAACTGAGGCCTATAAGAATAACAGGCTTTAGTCAAGGAAGATCTGGAGCAGGGAGCAAGAATGGTGGGGAGGGTGTTTTCTAGGAAAGAATACTGTGCAGAAGCCCTCAGCAGGATGGGGCCAATCAGATACCTCCCTCCCCCAAGGATGACCACAGAGTGAGCCCTTGATAAACCTTTGCTGATTGGTTGTATCCCCTCCCATGGCTCTCCTCCCAGGGTGCCTTTCTGCCGCCTTATTCTATGAATAGATGAGAGCTCTTATCTCCCCTCTGCCTGACCCTCAGAACACTGTGGGCCCTGAAGTCTGCTAATTAGAGATGGCTGGGAGGATTATTACGGCCCTGCTCTGGCAGCTGCACCCACCTCTAAATTCAATATCCAGCACCTGCAGAGAAAGGGGTCACCTTGATAAGCCCCCAAGACAAAGCAGGGAGACAGACAGGGTTTGTTCTCAACATAGCACTCACCCTCTGAATACAGTTTTTGTTTAAGCCCCAAGGCTGGGAACATTCCACAGCCTGGCAAACTCCCTGTCTCCTCAAGGTCAGTCCTTCCTCAGCATTCCTCTTTGGAAACGTCTCCCACGGCTGGCCCTGCTCCTGCCCCCTGGCTTTGGGGGCAGTTACATAACTCTTAGGAAGACCTAGAAATGCAAGCATATGGTGTCCTCAATTCCCAGCACAGACTTGCTGCTTCACATTTTTAGCTGGTGCTGAGAGACTGGCTTTCACACACAGACACACACACACATACACATCCCTGATTCATAACTACATTTCTGCTGCAGTATTGCAGATTTTTAAAAAATGAAATCCTACATCTGGAGCCACATAAGGGTGAAAGCATTGGGTATTCTGTCCCAGTAACTGTAGGGATGGAAAGGCCTCTGAGGCAGGACACAGAGGCCATATCACAGTACCACTGGACGGCCAGGATTCCTAGCACCCCTGGCTTTGGTTCTGAGAGTTTGGCTGCTTGTAGCTGAATTCCCTAACCAGAGCCTATCATGTCAAGCTCACAAATTCAGCATGCATCTATTATGTGTTTGCAATGACTAAAAGGTTAGGGAAAGAAGCCTGGTTTGGGGGGCTGGGGGATACTCAGAAAATATGTTCTGCAAAATGTTTTATTAGAGGTTCAGAAAATTAAGATACAGAAAGCATTTTACTTAATGAAGAAAATAAGGGTCAATATTTTCAAAGGAGTATAGTTGTTAAGAGCAAACTGTTTAGAGTCAGGATCAACCCAGACTCACATTCTGGTTCTCTGCAGTTTACTAGCTGTGACCTTCAACAAGTTTCTCTTAACCTGAGTCTTAGTTTTCCAATAAGTAAAATGGACAGAGCATTGTGAGGGGTGGTTGTGAGAATTAAATGAGATCAGAGAGTTCAGCACCATGACTATAAAGAGAAAGGGCTCTATAAATGTAGCTGGTCCTATAATTCCCTTTTTTTTTTTTTTTTTTTTTTT